CAGCTTGGAGGACATATCGTCATGGAAAAATATAGATAGGCTTGCTAAACATTTGGATCGTGTTTCTTCGCATGAATTTAGAAGTAATTGGAGGCTACATCGCAAGCCATTTTAAGCATATTGTGAATGCTAATATTGGCACTAGTCGGACTGACAGAATACTTCCAGAGCATGCAGCAATTGTACGTCCCAAGTGACACCACATATTGGTGTGACGCTTATAATTTTGTTCACTCTCGATTCCCTACAGAAATTCTGTAGTAAACGACAATTAGTAAAACTGTGTATTCCAAATCAGATTTCAGCACAAGGGAGGCAGAACACAGGGGACTTCTAGCTTCAACTTCTCCGAAGGCTTAATGAATCAGGTGCATGCTGATGCTCACTTCTCTCTCCTTGGTGAGACTCAGAAAATGAGCGTATCTTCGTTCTTGTGAAAGCCAAATGTCAAGAAACAAGCAGCTAAACGTAAGGAGAATAGGCGGGGCTCTAAAACACAGAAACCTGCAATACGCTAGTCCTAGGTACGTGAGTCGGCTAAGAAAGCTTGTTCGAACAGACCGTCAACTGTTTGGGAACACTTGCTTTGTTAGCACTGTATTTGGAGGACGTCATCATCTGATGTATCACAAGGAGCGACTCTAGGTCCGCCATCATCCTTTCGTCCCTCGAATAACCTCCCATTTTGCATCATTTCCCCGATTCCACTTTATGCTGAGGTTGTCAAGCTACGGAGAGCTGTGATATCATAGACGGAATCAGGTGCACTGCAAAGGGATCTCAGATTACTTGGAGAATGAGTGAAGAGCAACAGACTGACATTTAACTCGCATAAATGCCGAACCACGTTTCTCTGCCCTACCGACTCACCAAAAATGCCTTACATTCTCTATGATGCTAATCCTTCCAATTCGACGAGGCAGAAAGGCTAACACTGACTGGCAAGCTAGACATTAACCCCAATTATTCAGGAGATGCCTCCAGAGCTCGCGCAGTACTGCATTTCATGCTCAGGCACCTACCTACCCTTGCTTCAGAACCCATTCCGAAGGTCTACGAGACCCATATGCCAACTCATTTAGGGGTCCTAAGCGTCACCGTACAACCATATGTGAAAAGAGGCAAGGACCTCCTTGAGAAGGTTCGGAGGAGCCCAGCAAACTTCTTGAGAACGTGGCATAAACCCCACAAGGACAGATGGAAAAACCTTAGGGCTTACTCACTCAGTTCATGTAGGTGGCTTGGTGACTTGATAACGGCTCACAAATTTTTAATGTCAAAGCCATCCAAATAGTGGATACTACCAAGCGGCCACCGTGGCAATCCTAGGTAATCCAAGGAGAATCATACATCAAAAGGGAGAAAACTAGCATGCTTTCACACTTTTTCTGTCTGCTGGTTCGTGCCCACCAAAAAGCTTAGGGAAGACACTTGACGGCGACACATCGACTTGGCCTGCGCGCATCCAGTTGGAATACGGATATGGTTGACGCAACCTATTAACATCACACAATCAAGGATATTCAACCTTCATCGAATTTTCTTGTACTGCCGCTATCATCGCGAACTTGACCTGAACTTATACTTCCATGTTAGACGTCTCCTCCAGTCTGCATACGCCATCAATATCATTGCTGTTTCCACACCTATAATCCGTCATATAACTTCACTTGCCCTTTCTCTCCACTATAACGTTACGAGCTCAATCAGTTTATTAAAATTTTTCCTGTCACTGTTATCTGCCTTAAATCTGCCTAGGTTTATCCTTCCCTTCTATTCCGTTTGATTTTACCTACTTTCTTCGCACTTCCTCCCCCTTGATTTCCCTGAACGTCTTTTAACTCTTTTCGTCTTCTTTCGGAAACCAGTTCCAACGACTTTCCCGTGCCAACACACTTGAGCAACCAATCTGTACCATGGTCCGTCGAAAAATCATACAAAGCCCACAAATGTCATCAACACCCAACACCCCGTGGGATTAACCGGAAATACACCAGGCGCGCTCCTTGAGTAGTGACGTGTTTCGCTCGTCTCTCAGCTTTTGGATTTTTCCACAATGAAAAACTCCCACTTTCAATACTCAATCTAAAAACATAGAACGTTTGCAGCACTTCTGTCCGTCCACGCACCTCACCCCTGCGCATTCGTCAGCTCACTCCTCAACAGTTGAAAATTGGCATTATTATTCCTTTGAACCAACCGGTCTACCTCCTGTCAGTGGTTCTTGGGCGTTTCAGCTGCCAAACTGCCTTAGCTCTCGGTTCTCCTCGGAGGTCATTCCCCAGGAAATATCTTCCCTGGTTATACATACGCATCTGGAGCTTACGGTTAAACTCGTTGGTCAAGAGCAGAGGATCAAGTGACAAGTGTCTGAAGGTGAGCCAACATAAATTATCTTCCCTTTTCTATTCTGTCCTTTTCCTGCATTCAGTCTTCAACCCTCTTATTGTTGTTAACTACTTGTTTTCCCAAGAAGTTTATATCATAGCGACATGTCTGCCCAAAACGCTAGGTCTGAAGCTTTGACACGGATAACGCGGTCGTGCACAACAACGGCCAGTAACACCCTAAACAACACACTAGTCTGTACTAGAAGACAAACAGAGGTAGGGCAGAACATCGAACTTCTGAAGAAGTGGCCAACCCATGTTTCTAGAATTCCAGTAGCCATCAGACAGGTGACACAGAGTAGCACTAACCCGTCACAAACTAGTCCTATCTTGAGCAAGGATCATACCATGCCTGAAATAGAAGACGACGTAAAAGGCTTCAGAACAAGGCAGCCACAAGCAGTTCGCCACAATCCGTAGCACCTTATTCATGGAAGGAAGGCTGTATTACGACACCCGATGGCTGCAGTGTTTGCACCAAAGTTGTTTCGGTAGTCGATGAGGCATTTGCATGCAACCTGTGTCAACGATGGGTGCATTGCCACTGCGATACCAAAGTCCCCCGACAATACTATAAGCTGATGAAGAGACAACCATGCAAGTGGTTCTGGTACATCTGTCCAGAGTGCAGGAAAATGCCCGCACTCCGCACAGAAAGCCTGAAGGAGATGCTCTCCGCCACGCAAAAGCTACCAGCATCCCGAATAAGGTAGGGTTAACACCAAAGGATAACACAGAGAGACCTGGAAACAGACCTAGAGCTCCAGCTGTGGGCACGCCATCTCGCGTGGGGACCATATTAGGTCAAGTCTCCATACCCCCACCCGGCCCCAGGGGACGTCAAGCGCATGGCCAAAGACATCGACCGCCGAAGCCTCTACGAAACCCATTCCGAACACCCCACACACCGTGACTGAGAAACAACCAGTGGAATTACTCAAACCCATTGGGAAGTCGGGCGTGCCACCCACAACGAACCCAGGTCACAGGAGGACCAACTCGATCATTTTGTTCAACGTCGATGTATCGACAGACTCATTGTTGGTCGAGAGGGAACAATTTGACAGCCGAATGTGGACCGACTACTGTCAGATGCTGGGACTCCCTCCCCTCCCTGCAACTTTGTGTCGCCTTTCTCGAGGAAGCCATGCACCCCGAGATAAGCCCCCCCTTTACGTGTGTCCCTAAATACCGCCAAAGAGGCTGAAGACACACTCCTCCTCTCGCGACAACCGGACGTTGTTAATGCCTGTAAAATTCGGGCCAGGCCTGACAAGCCATGGTCAGTAAGAGAGGAGGAGAGAAAGTCAGCGGTTGGAAATCCCAACAGAAACAACACTATAGTTGTACATGGGATTCCAGAATTGCCAAGTGACAGCTCGGTCAAAGATCGGTACTTTCACGACGTCCAACAATGGCAATGGCTCTCAACCAAAGTTGGTCTCAACAGTATACCGGCCAACAGCGTCAGTAGACTGCCAAGGCCAGCGCACCTGAAGACCATACCCAATCCCAGACTACTTGCCGTCCAGTTCGACTCATATGCCTCCCTCACAGACGTTCTGCACGCATGGTATAATGCGAAAGATCGCATGGGTGGCTCAATACGTATATGTGAAAGTAAGCCTAGACCCACAAGGCAAGAGGAGAGACGGCAACCACCAAGACCTCTGGAGTCAGTGGTCGTCACACAGGCGCTGACCAGTGAGTTAGATACATCAAGTAAAGAAGCCACCACTGCTACAGCCCCCACCCAAGTTAAGAACAAAACACAAAAAAACGGAACAATGCCAGTCCTATGAGGACTGGCGAGGCTAAACCCAACCACGTAAGCGCTCATCCTGCGAAAATACACATCCAGACCTCCCCCTCATCAGGTACACTCTAATATGTATGTACAGCAACGTTAGGGGGCTAATAGGGAAGGTAGCAAAAATGAGGACGCTGCGTGAACATCAGCACTCCGACATCATATTCATCACCGAATCCTGGCTCTCATCGGACATCTCCGACGAAGAGATGCGTGTTGCTGGCATGGAACTCTTCCGCAGGGACAGGGAACATAGAGCAGGAGGGGGAGTGGCTATCTACGTAAACTCCTGTTTAAAGGCAAGGATGGTTAGCGATACGGCCTTAACCCAGCTCCCAGAGTCTCTATGGTGCTACTTCACTCTCTTCTTTATTCTCTCTTCATTCCTTTACCACTACCTTACTATTCTCTTCCAGGTACCTACACAGACAGGAGTCATGGCAGTTCTCTAAACTTCCCAGCAACCCGTAGCTCCCTAATCACTCTACAAATTACAACCTACTAACCCACAAAACATCCACCTCACCGAAGCTAAAAGCAAGAAAGCAGAGGGGATTTCCTCGTCCACTGCAGGAGTAAACCGAACAACTGGAACCAAGCCCTAAGAACTAGACGCGAGAGATCAAAAACTACTAGTTTTCTACGCTCGCACTATCAATATTGGATATTGGATATTAGATAGACCTACTGCATCGGAATCCACAGAAGACGTGAATCATTCCCACGGTACCTAGAAGTAAGCAAGGGAAATTTAACTCGCTCATATCAGCTAGTTAAAAGATTTTGAGCAATGGACATAGAATAACCTTGCAGATAAGTCCTTAGGGGCATGCCGCGCTATCCACCTGATCGGTAGTTTGTTTTGCATTTTGCAACTTGTCATGGTATTTGGTGTTTTTATGGGCTTTAAATAGTGCATAAACTGGAACGAATATATTCTAAAACATTGAAGATGTTTAACTATCACTTGTATCACCGAAGAGCACAGTCATGTCTGCAGTAAAACTGCTTAATTGCAACAATGTAATGCATGCATTACATTAGAAAAAAATTACTGAAAAAAAATTTGAGATGCAGGATGACAGGAATTTTCAGATTTTATATGCTGAAAACGTCTTTTCAGTCTACTGTCTATTCTATGTACATTAATTAATTAAAACGTCTGAATTAAGGTTCAGGGACCTTGAACCGAATAACATACTAGCATTCTAGCCAGCATTTACCTATGGAGCACTGTATGAGTTTTATGCAAAAACACAAAAATTTTACTTCAGGCTGATATAAGGAGACGCACGATATTCTCCGAAGTTTCCAAATCTACTCGAAAATGTCAAAAGTTACGAAGTGGGCCCGAGCTTTTCAAACGTGATTCCATTTTCCGGAACCCATGTACAATAGAGAAATGTATCCAGAAGTTCATTATCTAGCAAGTATAAAACGTACATTAGATTCTGTTTTTCTTTATCCCGTTTCGATGACGCTCTCCGGGGAAATGGGTAGACCGGTGCTCTCAGCGTATTTTGAGGCAAATATTGACATCGCCTACTCAGTTTCAGCCGATTCATGAACCTAAATGATATTATACAACACGTTAAGCTTACTAACTTTCCTCTATTTGGCCTTTTCTCCCTCACTTTCAATGTCACGACTGTTGTAAAACCATCTCTGGATGTGAATCACAATCTTTGTCGTCGTTGCCATGCCTATGGATGTTATAAAGAACGTCTTGGTACGTTATAAACCAAAAACTGGGACTTATGACAATTTTAGACAGTTTTCTTGAAGGTCGCTTGCCTTGCGTTGGCGACTACGAGTACAGCATGCTGAAGCTGGGTTCCAGTAGCGTACCCATTATGCGACGGACGGAAACACTAGTGTCCGACTTCACAAGACAAGAGAATTTCTGAGCTGCCACTCGGCAACATTTGGGGTCAACCAACTCATGTTTAAAATCCTGCATGCGCAGGTCACTATCGATAAGCCCTTTTACTGGAGGCTTGAAACCTCTTAGAAGAATCTGTTGTAGCAATTTTATTACTTTGGGAGGAGGAACCAGGGAAAGGCTTCCGGAACACGTATGCTGAAGTCGACACCACCATCTTCCAGAAGTCTAGACGCGTAATCGTCAGGTGTCCCTGATTCACGCACTCTGACTTTTCGAACAATGCAAGTGGAAATATAAATTTGTATATTTCATGCATACCGATTACGTCGAACTTCACTGGAGGGCTCCGTATCGGAGGTCAAAGTATCTTGGACTGCATCCTTTATACATCTGCATACCCTTTTTGAGCACTTCATGTTATCTGCAACCGTCAATTTACACCAAAGGATATTACCGTATCTAGCGTAAATCCGCAGGATGAAAAGCCTTTCGTAGGTTGGGTATAGTTTTGGACATCCTGCCACTTGTAACCCTTCGGTATACAAACGTAGCCTTGCGTTAGTCAAGTGTCTGAGACTATGACTATCGTATCCAAGGCTAGAATTGTAACAATAACATAGACATCTAAAAGAAAGCTAAGTAATGCATGCTATTTCAATAAACAATCGGAAGGGAAGACGGCGCGCACGTTTTATTCGGAAATTGTTACAACTATATATGAGGAGTTAGAAAGATGATTGAAAAGGAAACAGTGATTTTTATAATCAATTGTAAGTCGTTGTACAAAGGAAGTCATATATATATATATATATATATATATATATATATATATATATATATATATATATAAATCATGCTGATAAATGCAAATGTTATACTTACTTAGTCAAAATAATGTATTAACGAGTGCTTCAGCAATTAATATATGTGAACTACGGTCCATCTTTCCACGGCTAGTGTTTACTGAGTTCTGTCTCAAAGGTATGAATTAAGGGAATGACCGGAATAACTACTCAAAAGCAAGCACATACATTTCGCCCTTATGGTTGTATAAGCTTGTGCTTGCTTGGAAGTTATCAATCTTGTAAATCCCAACACCTCCAGAATCTATGGGTTCCAGGGAAAATGACTTGAGATTAAAAATCCCTTGAAAGAGAAACTCTTTTTCATTGAAAAACTTAGTTACTATCCCTGGTTGCGATCCATCTAAGACGCAGTTGTCTCGGGACACTGTACTAATAGTAAACTTACTTAAAACAGCCTTTTGCTCATTACTATCTATTGTTAAACTTGTTTAAGATGTAAGCTCCGTTTGAACTAGGCACCTTTCGGCTATTCGTTTGTTGACGTGAACTGTAGAATTATTTGGACCGGTTACCCGCTGGTGCAGAACGTGTATATACGACTCAAAGGGGAGGCTAGAAAACGAGTCTAGGGAACCATGTTCAGCGACGTTTTCACACAAGTGTAGTAGACCGTGTACGTTATACACCATATTTTCAACACCGAAAATTATACGAAAGCTGCGAACAAACTTATTAAGCATCACTTTAACACTATCGAGGCAATCATAGTGATGGTGTGGGTGACTTAGTAAGTTAGCGCTCAAAAATAATTCCATGAAGTATAAGAAAGAATAAAAGACCTTTCGAATATACAACATATGAATACAAAAGGAATAGGCGACATTCCGTTGCTTTCCACCCATTGGTTCCTATCAGCGATCGGCACTTACGGTGAAATTCACATCATCTGGCTGCATAACAGACCGTTAATTTGGTTAGTTTAGGATGTTTCATATGCGCGCCCGAAATGCCTAAAGTGTAGGATTCTGCTAAGAGGCCTCCAGCAAAAGGCTTATTGATAGTGACCTGCGCATGCAGGATTTTAAACATGAGTTGGTTGACCCCAAATGTTGCCGAGTGGCAGCTCAGAAATTCTCTTGTCTTGTGAAGTCGGACACTAGTGTTTCCGTCCGTCGCATAATGGGTACGCTACTGGAACCCAGCTTCAGCATGCTGTACTCGTAGTCGCCAACGCAAGGCAAGCGACCTTCAAGAAAACTGTCTAAAATTGTCATAAGTCCCAGTTTTTTGGTTTATAACGTACCAAGACGTTCTTTATAACATCCATAGGCATGGCAACGACGACAAAGATTGTGATTCACATCCAGAGATGGTTTTACAACAGTCGTGACATTGAAAGTGAGGGAGAAAAGGCCAATAGAGGAAAGTTAGTAAGCTTAACGTGTTGTATAATATCATTTAGGTTCATGAATCGGCTGAAACTGAGTAGGCGATGTCAATATTTGCCTCAAAATACGCTGAGAGCACCGGTCTACCCATTTCCCCGGAGAGCGTCATCGAAACGGGATAAAGAAAAACAGAATCTAATGTACGTTTTATACTTGCTAGATAATGAACTTCTGGATACATTTCTCTATTGTACATGGGTTCCGGAAAATGGAATCACGTTTGAAAAGCTCGGGCCCACTTCGTAACTTTTGACATTTTCGAGTAGATTTGGAAACTTCGGAGAATATCGTGCGTCTCCTTATATCAGCCTGAAGTAAAATTTTTGTGTTTTTGCATAAAACTTACACAGTGCACCCAAAGGAAATGTTGCCTGGTAGAGGAATATGATGTCAACCAACTAACAGTTATGCAACCAGTCGCAATGACGCGACGATGCATCTTAATGATAAGAAGTGTATGTATATATTTTTGAATGATAGAGTAGATTTTTAGCTTATGATGACGTCGCTGACTGTTTGGTGTTTTCTGAACGGTGGTATGTTGTAATGAACGTTCCGTCAATGTGCTTAGTGACACCCACTACTAAATTAATAAAGCTTTATATGCACTTATTCCTACAAGCGTCTATCAGCAGTCCCATTTTGCGCGGCGTCTGGTGCCTAAATTCCATTTATCAGGCTTCCACAAAAATCATTCATTCGGATTATCATGCATACCAGCGATAAAATCAGTAAATAAGACTGATAACAAATACGCATCTGAAACAAAGTGTTGTCGAATGAGGACAAGCTATCTAATGCAGGTTTAGCTACATGATAATTACTTGCTGTCCTCTTTTAGTTGATATTAAGTATGGCTAGACTAATTCATAAGCATTTACATCATAAAGCTGCCGAGCATTTCAGACTTGGATGAATATTTGTAAAGGATGCATGCGTTATTAGTTTGTGGGTAGGGGTGAAATATCTTTATTATCAGAGGTTGATCTTTACAGTTTTTATTGTTCGACCTATGTTGTCGACGTGATGTCTGATTGCCTTGCTCAGTCGATTTCTAGCTATCGGATCTCTTCCTAGTAGTCCGTTTATTTAGTCAATATCCATGTATCCATTGATTAACATTTGACTGGAGTGCCATGCCTCCAACAATTCTCTTACAGTTTTCGAGCTTACTCTTAGTATTTCCACTTTTCTCTAGTCAAAGTTGTAGTTGGGTTCATCTGCATGCTTCGATATCAATGAAGATATATCATGTTCGACGGCAATTCGGTGTTCATAAATGTCGTGGGGAAAGTTGACGTTTGAACTAGCCACCATAGTGACATTGACGATCTTTGCAACTAGTTTTGTAGATTGTATTCGTCGTATCTTCTTTGTGTAATTAATCCTTTAGCTCATAAAAAAATGTTCTTAAGCGGTTTATTTGGTTTTACTACTGATACCAAGCGGGTGAGGTGGTCGGCTGGCAGTTTCGAGGACATCTTTGATGTATGGTAGAACGATTTTTGTAGGTTAAAGTAATTATACTCATATGTGTTGCGTTGATAGGGATTTCTTGGTAAATTTGAATAGCTTATTATGAATCAATGAATGCACACAAACGCACTCCTACGGGTTTCGGTCACAGTGAGGAGCAAAGGCATCTTTAATATTGAATGAAAAAGTCTACGTAATGACCGCAAACAGTGATGGGTAGCGAAATCTAAGGAGTTG